ATCGGGCTACCCAAACTCATTGAAAAGTAGGAACAGACAGACGAAGGTTTAGATGTTTTATTCAGCGCCGATCGTACAAGCATATAGGTTGGTAAGCATCATGGATTAAGTAGAAGGTGCAATGAACAATAGCGCAACCGGAAAGAACGGGAAGAAGGACAGTGAGGCTTTCTGGAAGCAAGAGCAAGCAAGCACAAACGTGTGGATATGGGCGATCAGACAGTATAAACGGGTTGTGTACGGAGCTGACGATGCACAACACAGTCAACCTATTTAGCAAGTGAAGAAATCTGTCTGAAAAACTGGAATCGGGTGAATTGGACAGAAATTATATACACCTACATTTTTCAGCGTAACAAGGCAGTACGTAGCGCTCGCCAAATCGGAATAGTCCATTGGGTAAGTTTAAATCAAAACATCAGTAAAAACTATTACGTGAAACGTGATCATACGCTTACAGCTAGAATGAAGAATGACTGTGGATTTGCAGGTAGTTGGGATTGCACGAAAAGCGGACAACATCATAACCAGTGGGGAATATCCGATAAATAAATAAAAACAGATTTCTTTCCCAACCTGCAGGGAAAAATGGGTATGAGGTCCGACTAGTTAAAAGACATACCCGATCGACATGAACTAAAACTGAAAAGGATTGCCGGCTATGATTTGCCTTGGGCAGTTGGGTAAGTGGCCGGAGTCACAACGGGCAAAGGTGGAGACGGAGTAATTGGAATTGAGAGCACATGGCAAGTTTTGTCTCAAAAATGTGGTTTATTCTGAAACCAAGAGACTCATTGTTGTAGAAAAGTCAAGTGCAAGGGAAAGGTGGTGTTAATACATAGGGCAAACCGAACGCCGTATACGGGAGGCAAGCCGGAATCGCAGCAGAAAATCAGGCTGGCCAAATTTGAGCGAAAATTCATCGCCTACGAAAGAATTGATCCCATAGACGGTTGGGGCCGGATGAAAAATTTGCTCGCAGTTGAATTTACAGACTCGGGGTGGCAATCAAGATTCTGAGGAAAATAGTTGCGAGAGCGCCAACGCACCGGGTATGACAGATGCCTGCCATCCTTTCACTGACATGCTTTGGCTTACGGACAGCCCCATAACGGACGTGGAATGTGCCGCGGTTGGGGGATGCACACTTCCGTGGCAGCTGGATCTGGGTTAGACGAGGAGATTGACACAGTCAGGCGAATGCAGGGTCACGGATAATTTCCCTTCCGTTGGAGGACTGTATGAGTGTAGACTGGGGACCAGCCATACTGAATAAACGACAGTTATACGGGGCGCTCGGGTAGCCGATGTTTGAAGCTTGGGAAGAGGGACAATGAGGAAGAAATAAAACGAAGGCAAAAGCGTGCGGCGAGTGTCAGGAGGCATAAGATACAATGGTGTCAATAGAAAAAATATAAAAGGGAATGACAGGAAGCTAAATGGACACAGGAACTTTCGATACGTTCGCTTATCTAGAAGCCAAGTACCAGCTGGGTCAGAGTGGGGTATGACAGTGTCATGCCATCGTTTCACTGACATGCTTTGGCTTACGGACAGCCCCATAACGGACGTGGAACGTGCCGCGGTTGGGGGGATACACACTTCCGTGGCAGCTGGATCTGGGTTAGACGAGGAGATTGACACAGTCAGGTGAATGCAGGGTCACGGATAATTTCCCTTCCGTTGGAGGACTGTATGAGTGTAGACTGGGGACCAGCCATACTGAATAAACGACAGTTATACGGGGCGCTCGGGTAGCCGATGTTTGAAGCTTGGGAAGAGGGACAACGAGGAAGAAATAAAACGAAGGCAAAAGCGTGCGGCGAGTGTCAGGAGGCATAAGATACAATGGTGTCAATAGAAAAAATATAAAAGGGGATGACAGGAAGCTAAATGGACACAGGAACTTTCGATACGTTTGTTTATCTGGAAGCCAAGTACCAGTTGGGTCAGAGTGGGTGCCTAGTTTTAGGAAGGTAAGAACTCTGTCGTCGAGGTAGCAAGCAGGGAGGCTAACCGTTGTACTAGTTGAAGCGGAACATGGCTTTCTGCTCACAGAGGAATCATGAAATAGGTTCTCCGATGTGCAAAAAGGGGTTAATGTGATCGGTGAGAATAGACAAGTGAAAAGCGGGCAGGCAGCAGCTTCCCATATAATGGTAAAGAATAGCAGCTAAACTGAGAACTACTACGTCAACCTAACAGGGAAGCAAGACTAAGTCACCGAGCCACCCATGTCAACTACAGAAAACGAATCGTGCATGGCAAAAAACAACCATCAAGTACCAGCTGTGATTGCTTTTAATCAGGAACCAATAAGTTATCTTCATTTCGTGCATATGATTACTCTAGATGACAAGAGGGTGGACGCACTTGCTATTTTTGGATGATGAAATGGACTTGGAGCGGTGTGACCCAACTAAGATGAAGGTGGCGACTCCTTGCACGTCGACGTTAGCCGTGAGCCCCACACGGTAACTTCCGGCTACACCATATATATATGTTTATTTTAAAACAAACAAAAGGGCAACTGTCATTCGCCTGTATTTCTCGGTGTTGCGAGACAGGTGACAACCGGAACAAGTCCAACCCAGCTACAGACAACCAACAACGGTGCTCTTTTCGGTTTTCCTGAACAACTTTAAATCCTACTTCTCGTGACCAGTGGTAAAAAATAGGAAAAATGACCACTGACTGCCATTGACACGCAAAGGGTGGTACGCCTCATAGCTTATAAGATGCGTCCATTATCATCTACGCCGCGTAGCTGCAGGACCGTACTCTGCGGTGACGCAGTGGAGCTACCTTTCTGTTAACTTTAAAATGAATAGAAAATAGAAAAACAATAAGGATATTCTCCTAGAGGCCAACACGAGGTCTTATGCAGCTTATCTTAATCGATCGCCTCTTTTTTACGCTGGCTGAGCAATCCCTCACCGAACGCACTAAAAGCCGTTCATCACTTACTTTAGCCATTATAAAACGGTTATGGTTTATCATGAACGCAGACCAACAGCTCAGATGACTTTGTATTTTAGGACATGCTAAACGACTGGGTTCTACCAAATTTCAGGCATTTTGTTCCAAAATTTGTTGATCATTCGCTGTGTATGCGTGAATCAGGTGCTGCTGATCGCTAAATAAACCCATCATACTACCTCAGCAATTGTTTGGTACGTCATGGCCGTCCTCCACGTGGGTTTGGGATCAGGTTATTTCAAAACGCCAAATGCACTGAATAACGCATTGATCTCTTCACCTTAAGTAGGTTCTGTGATAACCGGCGCACCCGGTCCATGACCTGATTTTCAACCAATGACAACTGATTGGTAAGGTCAAATGCCCATTGGTAAAAACCGGAAACACGCCAAAGAAAAACATCCGGGGCACTCACGCCGAAGTTGCAGTCACGGACCTTCGTTGTGGTCCTGCATTTTCTGGAACAAAGACGAGGCGGATAAAGCTACTGATTATTGTTATTATTGAAACAGCAAGCAGTGTTTGCTAGCCAGAGCTTGCAGCCGCCCCAGATTCCTCGTCTAATCTATCCGGTTTCACACGAAGACCAAACCCCTACCGCCCTGTCTCGCCATCTCCAGAAAGGATCTTACTTTGTCGTTGAGCACGCTGGCTGAGCGACTGACGATTGCCTGTTCGGTACGCACTTTAAACATCGGTTGCAAATCAACACCATGAGTTCTACCCCCCTCTCTTGCGCGACATCACAACGTCCCGTATATCTTCGTCCCAGATATTTGTCCATATTTGATCACATTTAACTCGCTTTGCCCGGTAAATATCCTGAAAGAATGCAGCATACCCAACAACATTTTGCTCGAACTCTTCCCGCCTGAAGGCAGACTTCAACGATTTTCCAAAGTTCTTTTCCAAAGATTTTGTACTGTTCTATTCTAAGTTTGGGTAAAACACCAGAATGACACCTGTCATTAGCCATATTTATTGGCCATATTAATCCAACTGAGCTTAGTCGATTGACCGCTCTTGGATGACGACCGTAGGTAAACCGTTTTCTAACAATTCCAAATTGCTAGCGGCGCCCTCTTAATTATGTTAACCAACATTTCAAACGAATTTTCCCTCAGATTCACAAGCTTTTCCATCCGTTTCTGAACCCTAATGCGATTGGATAAGCAGTCAAAAGCAAAAAGGAAATAAACGTCCATGTATAGTGCTCACACGCGATTGTTTCACCTTTGGCCCTAGCAAACCCACATGACTTTTGCAATTTGATTTCGGCACCAAGTGTCTACCCTCTTATCAATCCAGAAAAAAGAGGGATGATGGTTGGATGGGCTCGGTACCTGATCACTTCATGGGGTGTTTTTGCTTCTCTAACTGATCACTCAGAGCGGATTATCTGCTCCATGCCCCATGCTCTGGTTTTAAACACAACTATGTCGCCTCTTATACGTCATCTCTCCACCAATTGAAGGTTTCGGAGCAATATCCTGTTCCCTGAGCAAAACTGGATGCAAACTCACTTCAAAAAACTTAGCAGAAGAACTGCCGAAATCAACGTCGCCATCTGATATTATTTCCCCCTTCCAAAAAATAATGGTCTCAAGAATGCCCTACGTAGACCCTTGAGCACCCGAACACAGTTCTGCATTCAGCTTCTCATCGCTTATCACAACACCCGAAAAAGATTGCTCCCGTGGGATATCCTCGGTGGTTCACGTTCTGCTGTATCTGCGCAACTTGCAGTGTACAACGAACTCCCAAAACAGAGCAAACATTCGAGATCGCACGTTTGATAAGTTTTTACTGTTCTTACCCACTTTCCACCTAGGAACCGGCCTTCAAAAATAACTATTCATCCATTTGCAGGGGGTCAAAATTTTTCTTGAGACACTTCCTATTCATGAGAAGGTGCAGTTGCCCACACATAAACGGGTAGTTTTATGTTTATAGTAGAGACCATTCCTTCGTGCTTAGCACTTCGGATGGTGGTTCGGGTCGCCTCAGTTTCGCCCGTCATAATGAAGTTGGGAGATGCTATAAATCTACCGGTACACGAGGGTTCCACTTCATACAGAAGTCCCGCATGTTCTACTACCCTTTATGCCCAAGATGATCGTGTGTATGCAAGATACCGAGCTATTCAGCTCCACTCAAACGTGACTTACTGCATCTCATCTCCCGACTGCCAGTCCAATACTGGACAAAGGTGTTGTGTGCAACTCAACAAATTCCGGGGTACTCCTGTTATATCACACCATGCTGGCTGCCGCGTACCTTGCAGTACTAAGTATCCTAGAAATCCATTTGATCACCCTAAGGCTACAAGTGACGAAAAAAGCTCCCCGTTCCGCTCAAATGAGCCTCCGGCTATCTACGTGCATGCCAACTGTTCAGCCCAACGTAAATACCCTTCTTTATCGGTCAGCGAAGAAGGCTAGATCCAAGTCTACTCCTCGACTTTCGGAGCTTTTGTACCCTTGGATTTCTACTCACTCATGTATCTTTAGTAGCTACTACATCTGCCGAGTTTCCCAGGCTACAGGACGCCGTTGCCGCAGGGATCCCTTTTAAAAACCGGCTTCTAGAGAGCAGTCTCAAGGCAAAGAGAGTTCAGACCTTCAACTGAAGCCTTGGTTGCCGGACTGAGCCCACTTGCTAAACATAATCAACTTCATTCCCGGCATTTGAACCTATTTAGCCAACCCCTTCCCAACATCACCAAGTTGCCAAAACCACCGCCGACCGTACTATTCACGTACACACATAATATATTGGGAATCGGCGCAGTGCACCTTGGACCATCTCATACTCGCATCTGTGTATGTTCAGCTGAGACAACTTGCAAACTCCTCTACTCGCCTAGACCCAGATGGAACGCTCGCGGTCCAGCATTCCTAGTTTCCTAGCCCTTCAGAAACCGTTTATTCTCACCACAACAGCGCATCGATCAGCAAATCTTGGTTGTCGTCCACGCATTAGTTAACCACTGATCTCTCTTCTTGGTTGAAGTAAGCGTACAAACCTCATGCACTTAACTGTCTCACTCCATCGGGGGCCGATTCACAATAATTCAAATCCCTAATTCTGCCTGTGCCCGGCTATATGTTTGTTTGCTGCCTAACATATCCGTGTGTGTTGCTTTTACATTAACCATTATTGAATAATAATAATTCCACCCGGAATCGTTGTTGTAAGGACTCTAGTCGTGGCAACCAAAGAGGGTTACTCGACTTGCAGGGGGCCGAAGCCGACCTGACGGAGGTAAATGAATGTCGACGGCATGCGAACGAGCTTTAAGGCTGGAGGTGTGTAAAGGTGATACTACTGATTAAAGGGGCACGCGCGTAGTATGTGTTGTTCGTAGAATTTCGCTTTGCGTCTATTGAAAAAAGGAGATCTGCTACGGAATTCGTGGAGCCACTTTGTAACATTTGCTTGGATTTGACCGACGAATGAGTGGAGGCAACGAATCTCTAGGAAGGCTCACTCGGGAGAAGATCTGTGTCCAGTTTTTGTAACTAAGATGCAGATTAGAGTTTTGCTGCCCTGTTCAATGGTCTGTAACCGGTTAATTGGCATTTCTGAATAAATAACTCCGCAGCGAAGGCCTTCTTCCTTTCACTGGTACCTCAGACACACCGGCATGAATGTCAAGGAATAGCTTCTCCACCTGTATTCAGCCACCCACATTGGATATTGTACGCAGTATCGATTACCCTCCGAATATATGGTTCAACGGCGCGTACTCTGTGTGCATCAAAAGCAACCAACCTTTTGTGAAATGTTTTAGTACACTAACATTACGCGCTTCGGTGGCGGCGCACTTGAATTATGTTTTAACACGACTACAGTGGTGAGATAGTACGAAGTAATGAGTTTCCTGTGGGACTGGATTAGTGGTTCTGTGTCGAAAGTCCTCAGTTACTTAGGGCTTTGGCAAAAAAATGGAAAGTTGGTCTTCCTTGGTCTTGATAACGCTGGAAAGACTACACTACTTCACAGACTAAAAGATGATCGAATGGCTCAACACGTACCGACGCTTCATCCGACATCTGAGGAACTATCGATCGGAGGAATGAAGTTTACTACATTTGACCTCGGTGGTCACGAGCAGGTGCGGCGAGTATGGAAGAACTACATTCCTGCAGTTGACGGCGTTGTTTTCATGGTGGACGCATGTGATCGTGACAGGTAAGACAGTGTACTGTGACACAAGCCATATTTCAGGTTTCTTGAATCAAAAAGGGAGTTAGACAATCTCCTCCAAGATGAGCAGATTGCACATGCACCAATACTCATCTTGGGGAATAAAATTGACAAGGCCGGGGCTGCCAGTGAGGACGAATTGCGCTACTACCTCGGACTACAGGGTGTAACCACCGGAAAGGGTGTAATTCCGAGGAACCAGGTTGTATCTGGAAGACCAATCGAGTTGTTCATGTGCAGCATATTGAAGCGCCAGGGTTATGGAGAAGCTTTCAATTGGCTGGCGCAATACTTAGACTGATGTCCTTTGTACCTTCCCGTATGTATGTAACCTGAACAGTTGCCACACAATTTTTTGTCCGGACCCTCATAAGATGGCGTGCGTGGGACTTATTTGATTGGACACGTTCTTATTTGTATTTACGGCAGGTAGCCGTGTTCATCTCTCATTGTGATAAATGACTACCCGTCATTTGACTTGTATATCTCGATCAATCACAAACTGGGCGAGCCGGTGAGAACGGTTGTTTCGACAGATGTCAGTGCGTATCCAAGTTGTGTAACCATCCGTACTTTTGCCCGGTTTTTAACTTGGTATTACTAAATTTCGGTTTGCTGTCAGAAAGTTGAGTTTGGGCAGTGCGTTATTTTCATCATTGGGAAGGGATTCACCGCACCAGGTTTCTCATTTTAACAAGAAAGTTAGACGCTGGGTTCAATTGATAAGCGCAACCTGTAGATTTTAGTGGTAGAGATTGAATCGTACTTTTTTGACAATCACCGGTTGATGAATAGTACCAACTTTGTATGGAATGTAGTGGAAACCGTGGAACAACAGTAGAGGATTGCCTCGACGGTGTCCAAAGGGGTCACGAATTTCCCGGAAATCGAGATAGCCATGAGAGGAATAGGATCTGTTGGAACTTCGAATTAATGCCTGAGTACCCTACTCCTATCTTCTAAATTCACGTTATAGATGCAAGCTGACAAGTTTCCGTTTGTGGTTCTCCGGAAATTGCGTTCAGGCTTCGGCTCGTTTTGTTCGCTATTGGTTACGTAGGGCGCACGATACATACTTGACGCGGCTATATGGAGACTATCATTATCGTCGACAGTATGATATCATTGTTCAATACGGATGCTTCGCTGTCGTACAACCACGATTTATTTGCAAGTCTTATGGTGAAGAAGATTACTGATTCGTGCATTGACCTCATCTGTCACACCACAGTCAGAATTAATACAACTTCCAAGATACGCAAAACGCTCCACAATTTCCAGTGCCTCTCCCTGGATTGTAAGTGGCGTGTTCAGTGACTGCACGTCCACGAGCATGACCTTACACTTTGTAGGTGCAAAGTGCATACCAAAGGACAGGGTGACTTTGGTCAGTTCACCCAAGAAGATGAAAAGGTGAGAACGACGTCGTCTGCATATTCCAGCTCGACAAGGTTTTCGTCAGAGGTTGTTTGAACGCCGGTGTTTCGGAGAGCTTCCAACGTTCGTCTCATGATTTCGGTAATCACGAAGTTAAAAAGGAATAGAGAGAGTGGGCATCCCTGACGGACACCGCTTTGTGTATGGAAGCTTTTGGAGAGCTCACCATATACTGCCACACGTCCGGAAGTCTGAGAATACAAAGAACTTATTATGTTCACGAACTCCCGGGGCATCCGTTGGTGTGCGAGCGTGTCAAGCAGAACAGACCGGTCAACCGAGTCGAATGCGCCTTGGAAATCCAGGAACATTAGAATCGTGGGTCGCTTATGCGTTAGCACCCGACAAAGTGTGAATGTTTCGTCAATACAACCCCTACCAGGCTGGAATCCCGCTCGCTGCTCTCGAGTCGGTATTTTACGAGCCATCGTAAGGCGACAAAGCACCAGTGACACCAACAGTTTCGTTACCGGGTTCATGCTGACCCCCCTGTGGTTGCCACACTACGGAGCCCCTTTTTGAAAATGGGCACTATCACTGATTCTCCCTAGTTGTCTGGGGCAGACTCCTTTCCCCAAATACGAGCAACCAGATCGGCCAAGCACTGATTGAGGACTTCACCCCCATCTTTGAACAATGAGGGCAGGAGGTCATCTTAGTGGCGTTTGAGAGAACAAACCTCCGAGGTTGTAGGCGCTTCCACGTTCACCGTCCAGGGTCCTACGTCACCTGTGGGTTCCAGATGGATGCCAGCTGGTGACCATGACAATTGTTGTTCGATGTGTTCGGTCCAATGGTTGAGGCTTTCTTCTTTATTCAAGATGATCACTCCATTCCGATCCTTGATAGTTTCGCTCACAGGTGGCCTTCGGGTACCAGTCGCATGGATCAACTGAAATGATCTTTTGGCATTACCGGCTTTCTGGGCCTCTTCCACTTCCTCGGCTTTCTGTGTCCACCATACTTCACGGTCGGCTCGCACGCTCACTTTCACGTGACGTCTGGTAATTCGTCGCACCAAGTTATGTTCGCGACTGGCTGGGATATTTCTCCGAGATCTAAGCAGTGTCACTGTTCGGTCTGATATCCAGTGCTTAAGTGCGCCTGGTGGTGTGCCACAGGTGAAATTCCCAGCACTATGCAAAGAAGTGGCAATATCGTCCCAGTATGAGTTCACGTTTGATTGTGGAGCATTTGGAAAAGACCCTAAAAGACGATTCTGGTAAATTCGTCCAACATCCGGATCTGCCACTCCCAGTTGCCAAGCGATTTGGCGCACCTTACGCAGCCCCGGAAAACGTAGGGAGAAGCGACTCCGGACGAGCGCGTGGTCGGAATCCACAAGTGTGTTCCAAAACGACAGACAGTCAGTTATTGATCCACGCCATCGGTAAATGATGGCAATGTGATCGATTTGAGTTTGTGACCAGCATGCCATTGGAGGACACCATGTGGCCAGACGACTTCGGCTATTGAGGAGGTTAGTGCCGCATAAAAACAGCCTGCAATCAGCCCACAGCTGAAGCAATCGTTCACTGTTGTCCGTACGTACCGATTCCAGTCCATGTCGACTCCTAATTGAGTCTCAGATGCACGAAGCCTGCTCACTTGCGCATTCATATCTGCGGCAACCACAATGTCTGGGCTTTTAGCTCGCCGCAGCAGGGCACTCAGAGCGTCGTAAAACCTGTCTTTGACGGCGTCGGAGCTACAGTCAGTTGGGACATAGGCAGAGACGATAAACAGACATCTATCAACTTTACGCTTGTGAGATTCCTTCACAGACGTTGCCAGATGAACCACAGAGGTGACTATCAACAGGTATCCAGTCAAGTGACCGGTGACTTAGCACAATACCAACCCCAGCACATCCCACCGCAGCAGCCTCTGGATCCCCGACCTAAAGCTGCCACCTTGACGTGGTGGTCGGGCTTGAGTGCCGCAATGATCCCGCGGGCTACACTGGCTGGAACTTCGTTCCAGAAGGTGCAACCATGCCAGGAAGGCTAAAGGGGAGCAGCCAGACCAAGAGCAGCGAGACCCCGTAGTACGAGTAATCGTGCTACGAGGCGGTCTGGGGGTAAAGTCGTACTGTCCTCTGCGACAGGAGGGTGAAGACAGTAAGGTGTTTCCCCCAGGCGACCAGCATGTCCATATTTGTGGAAGCAGCGATGCTGCCTTCCCCCGAGGAAGGACGGGTTAGAAAAGGTCGGCCCCAAAAACCGCACACTCCGATCGCCCAACGGTTGACCGTGACCGCCGGCGCATTATCCAATACGGTCGAAATACTTTTAAAACCAAAGAGCCCGGTGCTGCTCAAAAGGCACCTGCTGTGCGCAGCCGCATCAGGAATGAGACAGTAATGCCTTATTCCCTGCGCCCTCGGGTTAGGCCAACCCCCTGCAGCCGAGCAGGTCAGACTATTGAGTCATCGGCTCCGGGCAGGGTCCCCAAAGAAAACCCTATATTCTCCCACTGCCTCGTGGGTCAGACTTTTGAGTCAGAGGCTAGGGTCAGGGTCCCCGAACAAAACCCCACAATCTCCCACTGCCTTGTGGGTCAGACTTTTGAGTCGAAGGCTCAAGGTGGGGTACCTCAACCAAACCCCCTTCCTCGGCCTGGGCAACCGGGAAGTATCATTTGCCCGCGCAGTTCAGCGTCCACCGATGTCCCTCCCCAACCCCTTCCCACTGCACAAGCAAACGTCGCTGGGCCATTTGACTGTCAGTCATCTGACCGAAGGGCCTTATGCTCCACGCTGCCTACAAACCTTAAACAAAATAACACCTTTCTAAATCCACGAGATCCTTTCTATATAGGAGCTTTTAACGTCCGTACTCTATGTCAAATTGGCAAACAGGCTATGCTTGCTGAAACCTTGTACTCCCTTAAAATTGATGTATGCTGTGTCTCCGAAACACGCATACCTGAGGATGTTGGCGCCATGTGACGAGCAGATGTTGCGCTCGAAACCGATGCAAGACGAACGGGGCCATCAGTCCTAAGTGATGGGCCTACAAAGGGAGAGCTATTAGTGGGGTGGGGAGAGGGGAAGAAAAATTACTTGAAAGGGACGTCAGCAGTAGCCTGTTTTCGCTTACCCGCCCTGCTGAATGCAGGAAGTAAGGTGACCCGGCTGGTGGCACCACGCGACGGCCCAAGTGGCATGAATCTATTGTTAGACGTAGATATCGGTTGTACGTGGACTGGCGCCCACATCTAGGCAGAGGGACGATTAGGGTCTTTAACCAAAACCTTTGACTCGAAATTCATAGTCGCGAGACAGCGATGTTTGGTGGGAAATGCAAATGCGTTGCCATTTCTACGAAACGTTCCGGACGTTCCAATCCTCACACTGGAAGACGAAGAGACTCTTTTTCAGACCTCTAACCACTGAGGGAACTGGAATGAGAGACTGCGTGCCGCGGACACCCCCCAGTATAGCTCAATGTGTCGCTGTGGTGCGCAAACCATCGCACCACGGTTAGGTCCAGTCTCTGACGGTTTATGGAATGAGAGACTGCGTGCCGCGGACACCTCCCAGTATTGCTCAATGTGTCGCTGTGGTGTGCAAACCGTCGCACCACGGTTAGGTCCAGTCTCTTCTTGACGGTTTAGCGGGACCGTGCACAACTCACAAATGAAATCGGCTGCAACTCAGTCGTAGTCAGCATCTCCGGGTAGTCTCAAGTACGTCGATTCGAGTGGGCGTAGTCACCAGTACGCGATCCAGTCCACGTTAAGCGTCTTTCATTGATTTCTTATCCTGTGGATGAGAAACTTATCGAAGTTGCTCATTCGTGATGATGATGTGAGATTGCGCACCTTATCTTTTGGAGCACTCTGATTAGCCTTAGAACGTTG